GTTTGTTTAGATAAAGGTTTGTCTCTGATTTTCTCAAAGAACCAACTCTTTGTTTCATTGATTCTTTGTATTATTTTCTTTGTTTCTACTTTCATTTCAGCCCTTAATTTGATTATATCCTGGCATCTACTCCTCCAGGGAGAGTTTGGTTGTTTTTGTTCTAGAGCTTTCAGTTGTGCTGTTAATTCTCTAATGTTACTAATCTCCAATTCTTCATGTGGGCACTTAGTACCATGAACTTTTCTCTTAGCACTGCTTTCAAAGTGTCCCATAAGTTTGGTATGTTGTGTCATCATTCTCATTGAATTCTAGGAAGTCTTTAACTTCTTTTTTTATTTCTTCCTTTACCCAGGGATGGTGCAGTTGTACATTATTCAATTTCCATGAGCTTGTAGGATTTCTGCAATTTGTGTTGTTGTTGAACTCTAACTTTAAACCATGGTAAGCCAATAGGATACAGGGGTTATTCCATTTTTTTTTGTATTTGTTGCGGTTTACTAAGTTGCCCAGTATGTGATCTATTTTAGAGAGGGTTGCATGTGACGATGAGAAGGTATATTCTTTTGTGTTTGGATGGAATGTTCTATAGATGTCTGTTAATCCCAAATGGCTTATAACTTCTGTTAGTTCCTTTGTTTCATTGTTAAGTTTCTGTCTGATGGTCCTGTCTAGTGGTAAGAGTGGGGTTTTGAAGTCTCCCACTATAAGTATGTGAGGCTTTATGTGTGATTTGTACTTTAGTCCCGTGTCTTTTACAAATGTGGGTGCATTCATATTTGGGGCATAGATGTTCAGAAATGAACGTCTTCATCTCTTTTGATTTTAGTTTGAAATCTAATTTGTTAGACATTAAGATTGCTACACCAGCCTGTTTGGTAGGTCCATTTGATTGGAAAATCTTTTCCCAACCTTTAACCCTGAGGTAATGCCTGTCTTTGAAGTTGAGGTGTGTTTCTTGTATGCAGTAGAAAGATGGATTTTGTCTTCGTATCCATTCTGCTGGTCTGTGTCTTTTTTTAGGTGAGTTAAGACCATTGATATTGAGGATGTTAATGATCCTTGATTGTTAATTCTTGTTTGTTTTGGATTTGGTGGTAGTGGTGGTGGTGGTACTGTGTGTGAATCCCCCCTCCCACTCCCTCACTCCAGTCTTTTTTTTTTCTTTTGACTGTTGATAAAGTGGGATTATCTATTGCCTATGTTTTTGTGAGTGTAATTAACTTCCTTAGGTCGGAGCTTTCCTTCCAGAAATTTCTGTAGGGATGGATCAGTGGTTATGTATTGTTTAAATCTAGTTTTGTCGTGGAATGTCATGTTTTCTCCATCTATAGTGATTGAAAACTATGCTGGGTATAGTAGTCTGGGCTGGCATCTGTTGTCTCTTTTTATTGGTAGAATATTCATTTAGGACCTTCTGGCTTTCAAAATTTCCATGGAGAACTCAGGTGTAATTTTGATAGGTTTGCCTTTATATGTTACTTGGCCATTTTCTTTTGCTGCTCTTAATAATCTTTCTTTATTCTGTAAGTTTGGTGTTTTGATTATTATGTGGCGAGGGACTTGTTTTGTGGTCTACTCTATTTGGTGTCGTGTAAGCGTCTTGTAATTTTATTGGCATGTCTTTCTTTAGGTTGGGAAAGTGTTCCTCTATGATTTTGTTGAATATGTTTTCTGCACCTTTGAGGTGGGTTTCTTCACCTTCTTCTATATCTGTTATTCTTAGGTTTGGTTTTTTCATGGTGTCCCATATTTCCTGGATACTTTGTGTTAGGGATTTGTTGGACTTAAGATTTTCTTTGGTTGATGAATCTATTTCTCCTAGTGTATCTTCAACACCTGAAAGTCTCTCCTTCTTTCTCTTGTATTCTGTTGGCTATGCTTGCATCTGTAGCTCCTGATCTTTACCCAGCTTTCCTATTTCCAGCATTCCCTCAGACTGTGGGGTTTTTTTTGGAGTTGTTGTTTTGTTTTTTTATTGTCTTTATTTCAGGTTTTAAGCCTTGCATTTTTAAATTGTTTCCTTAACTTGTTTGGTTGTTTTTTTCTTGGCTTTCCTTGCTTTCTTTAAGAGATTTATCTCTTGCAATTTTTTTCTTTTCCTGCATTTCTTGAATTTTGGTTTTTTTTCCATTTTTAAAGAGATTTTCTCATTTCCTCTTTGAGGGTCTCTTTTATCTTCATAAGTTGTTTTAAATGTCATTCTCTTCTGCTTCATCTGTGTTGGGATGCTCAGGTCTTGCTGGTGTGGAGTTCCTAGACTCTGGTGGAGTCATATTGATCTTTCTGTTGTTGAATATGTTCTTATATTGTTACATACCCATCCCTTCTTCCAGTGGGTGCCCGTGGGATCTCTCCCTCTCTGGTGGGTATGGGTCCAAGGTTCTCTTCTGGTGGGTGCAAGCAGGTTCCATACTCCGATGGCTCTCCTCTTCCCATGGGTGGAGGCAGGACTAGTGCCAGGACATTGATAAATTCTGCTGGTCCACTGGCACAGGTTCCCCTTGCACAGTCCCCAGACCTCAGGAGGCTCAGTGCAGGGCACCAGAAGGTGGGTTTATTTGTTTTTCTTATCTAGCTGCCCTTACTTAAATCTTTTCATTTTTAGGATTAGGAAATCAATACTTAGAGATGGTAACTAGCTTGCTTGAGGTAACATAGCTAAGTGGTACAGTCTGAATTAAAAACTCAAGGCTTTTAACTCTATAGTCAAGAAAGGAGTCAAAATATTGAGTAGGATTTTAGCGAGTTTGGATGGAATGAGTAGGAGATGCTGAGCATGTAAATTCTGATTGGTTTAATATGGCCCTCTATATCTTTTGGAGATTACCACACAGTAAATCATTAAATACAGACATGATTAAAGGGAAACCTCACCTGAATATATTTACATCTTAAAGGATAATTTGGAGTACAATATTTGCTCTCAGATCAGTTTGAATAGCAGTGTTAATTGGAGTGAATCTGTGCCAATGATGGACATGATGTAAAAACTGACTTTGAAATTTTATCCTTGAAGACATTTGTGTTCTTACAGTTATCTCTCTCCCTTCTGTCTTTTATTCCCCCCTTCCTCTCTTCATCTCCCCACATAGTTTGAGACTTTTAAAGTTTAACGAGACCTTAGAGAAGAAAACAGAGGAGAGAGAAAGCAAGATGAGAATTTCCTCCTCTCTTCCTCCCTCCCCCCATCTCTTCTCCCTCCTCTCTTATTCACCTTTCCCTTTCCTGCCTATTATAGACATAATGCAAGCTGCCCAGTAGCTGTCCATAAAGCTCATTTAAAGGAGGGATGGTTTCTTCTTTGGTCTTGCTCCATTTCCTCAGATGATTAGATAACATTTAAAACTTGATTGGTCCTCATCTCTATAGGCCCCTGGTATGTAATTTTTGTCTTCAAAAATATCAGTAAAAAAATGGTATCATGTTATGCCTGGGAATCTATAATTGTATTTACTTCATTCTGTAACTTTAGGCAAATATCATGTAAAGATTGCTGTGGACTCAACTAACACTTTCAGATACAATTTGTTATATGATGACTAAAACTCCATGGTAACGTAGACCACTGCCAGCTACTAGAAAACAAATGTTAGCATCTTACCTCAAAAGCTTTTAAAAACTATATTTCCCAAGATTCTCGTTTTCTGTAACTGCCAAAGGAGTAAAGCAGAAAGGAGCAGTTTCCTAAGGTGGATCAAAGTCTTTCCCAGTATAGTCTGGGATTGGAGGACCTAGGCACAGAACACACAAGCTTTGAGAAGAACCAAATGTTGTCCCTATTAAGAAACAAAGCTTACAGTTTCCCCCAGGCTTTATCTCGCCCTCTCCTCTGCAAGTAGTGTCTCCCCCAGCACCTCACCAAGAGTTGTACCCCTGCTGCCACCGACTTACAACATTTAGCAAAGGCCTTTAAATGCTGGGTATGATGCTAAACGGTTGCTGTGGGATATTTGTACACCGTGTGAAAACGTATTGCTGTGATTGCGACTGGTGTGATAGCTCAATAGCTAGGCAGGATGTGTAGGTGGGACTTCTGGGCAGAGAGAACTCTGGGAAGAAGAAAGGCGGAGTCAACACCCAGATGCAGAGGAGGCAGCCTGGGCAGTACGTGCTCATGAGGCCATGAGCCACGCAACAGCGTGTCTAGTAAAATGAATGGGATAATTCAAGTTATAAGAGCTAGTGGGACCAGCCAAAGCTAAGGCTGAGCTTTCGTAATCAATAAGAATCCTGTGTGTCGTTATTTGGGAGCTGTCGGGTGGGACAGAGGAAGACTCCTTGCGAATGTTTCTTCTGAACTAGCCACCAGGTCCACCACATACGCAGCGTGTAACTCCATGCAACTCTGCGTGCCGTCCTTTGACTCTGCTGGCGAGGAAACTGAGGGCCATGGAGCTTTTGTCTTACTAGAAGTTTAGGAGCCTGTGAGTGGCTGAACCGGCTGTGAGAGACCCTAACACTGAATTCTCCCAGGATGTCTCCTCAGAGTGGGGGTGTGCTTTCCCAGGTGGCTGGCATTCCTTCTCAGAGGCCCCAGGGAGGCAGGCTGGGCTGTTTGAAAGTCATCGGTTTTGAAATAAGAACAACCCCGATGGCCATATGGAGATTAGCTCTTCTGCCTACATTTTAAATTAACCTTATTGATGGATTTCCTGCCAAGCTTAGTTTCATTTATTATGCATGTTCCTTTTGGTGGGTGTAAGAAAAAAAATGTGTGAGAAGTAACCTCTAAATAAAGCAATGTATAAACCAGGCTTATAAATTTTTCTAAAGTTTATTTTTATTTGCCAAGTTTTTCTGAGCTTCCTTTAAGGTAGAGGGGTGTGTTTATTAAATATAATGAAAAAACGCTATCTTGAAACGAGGATATTTTAGTAATACGCAACTGGAAGTGAGTCTTTCTTCCTTCATTCATCATTATCAGCTGAGAACATTCCGGGCCAGCAGCCAGAGGGAAACGGTGTCATGATGGCTGAGCCAAGTCACTGTTTTCTCTTAAGCTTCCAGAAATTTCAGCCGAAACTTCATCCTATCTGGCGATGCAACTGCCTTACCAGAAGTTGTGGAGCATGTGAGTGGATTGTGATAACTGCTTCTAAGACATGCCTTCAAGTTTCGAGTATGGAAAGGAATCCGTGGATGTGATGGCCTTCTTATCTTGGGCTACAGTGTATGAATCAAGGAGGCCGGGCAGTGTAGTCTGTCTGAGAGTCTCAACACTAAACATAAATAATTGAATCACAGGTGATGTTTTGTTATTGTTATACATAAACTATGCTGGAGTTCAGAGGGCCGAGAAGGTTTTCCAAAACAGTGTGATTTCTTTAAGTAGCTTGAAGTTCCAGAACTATCTTGTCTAGCTGAGAAAAATAATGACCCAGATTGATAATCTGTTACTTAGGTGGGTTTATTCATAGAATTTGTCAGTCCACATGCCTTCTTTAATAGCAAATATTTAAACACCCCTTTTGCTATCCTGACATAAACTTAAATGTCACACATCATGCAAGAAATATCGTGGGGCTGGAGACATAGAATGGCATCCATTGGTAGCTCACAACTGTCTGAAATCTGGTTCCAGGAGATCCAGACCTTCTGCTAGCCTCCACAGGCACCAGGCACAGACATGCATGAAGGCAAAAATCCATACACGTTAAGTCCATACATACATACATACATACATAATACCCTGTTCTAAGAAGAGAACTAAAAGGAAATCAGTTCTCAGTAGCTGTGAGTGACAGTAGTGAACACTAGACAAGACTAGTGTTGAAGGTGCTGTTCTAAAGATAAAGGCTTGACTCCCACCCCGCCATGAAAATGCACGTGTTATAACTAACTGATGATGGGCAACCAGGCAGCTATAGAAACCTAGGAGAGAAACGGAGAAGCGCACGCTTCCGCAGACCAGGGATACTTACGTGAGTGCAGAGATGGAAACAAGCTAGCATTTTCAGCGGTGAGGAGAAGCCCATAGAGCCTCTTCTACTCAGGACAGAGTGGACGCCCGTACGGACAGACGATTTTCTCATCGATAATTAAGAGTCTGCCCTTAGCAGAGTTGAAGACTAGTTCACACAGAATCAGAAACAGCCGAAAGTCAGCAGCAATGGAAAAACTGTAGTAGGTTTTCAGTAGCGGCTCAGCTCTCCCCTAGCTTTCATTTCCTGAAATAATCATACACTTGTGATCATACGAAGAAACATACAGGACACAGCAGACTGAGAAACTGTTGCTCCCATTCCGTTAAACAATGCTGCCTTCCGGGAGGTTTGGGAATGGAAAGCAAATCTTGGTGAATTTCTGAATATAAAAAGTATGCCTCTTTTACAGCATGCCTTGAGCTCCTGGGAAATTCAGTGTTTTCTGAACTACTTGGAAACAAGTTGTATGCAAGCCTAACCGTTCAGTCTTGAATGAAGAGCGTTATAAGTATCCCTCTGGTAGTTATGACATTGTAGTTATAAATAAAACAGGAGTAGGAAGTGTGAAAGCTGTGGTCCCTCCTTCCTTCACTTTGCAAGGGGTCCAGCTCCCTGCTTCTATTTAGCAAATGAAAGTGGTGCTCTCCCAACCATTGTGACAACCGGAAATAGTGCCATAGGCAACAGCGCTCCACGGCTGTGGAGTCCTGAGGAGGGCCTCTGGCGGCACAGTCAGCTCGGCCGGAAGGGCAACTGTGGAGAAAGGCAGGTTGCCTTCATGCTGAGGCCTAGACAGACAGACTCAGTATCTCAAGAACCGATTCATGTCCTCTGAATGGTTCCCTTCCAAGGGCAACTCTTCAGCTGGGTGAGAGACAAAGGAGGCTTCTCACCGTGTGACTCACCTCCACGCTCTCGGTCTGACTGAATGTCAGTTTGCTTCTGTACTTCTGAAGCCTTCTGTGGCAGAGAGGAAGATACCAGTAGGGGAACTCAGAGAGAAAATGACTCAGCCAGACAACTTGAAGGGACAGAGTGGCCCAGGAAATGGTAGGACAGTGGTTCTTGCCAACCCAGATGGTAGTCGCACCCTGAATCAGTCCAGATTAATTCTAATTGGTCTTAACAATGAGAACCTGGAGTCAGATATTAGGGGGTAATGATGAAAGATCAGAGAAGTAAAGCATCCAGCCACTAAAGTTCTTACCTCTACAAAACCCTCAGACCAAAAAAGGGGTGAGCTCCTGTCTCCTCCCTCCTTATACTCTTCTCTCCACCCAACTGTATCACTTCCTGTCACCATCTCCCTAGGACTAGGATTAAAGGCATAAGATCCCAAGCGCTGCAATCATAGGTGTGAGCTCTGTTTCTATTTTAGACTGGTTAAATCTCATGTAGCCCAGTGTGGCCTTGAACTCCTGGTCTTCCTGCTCTCACCTCCCGAGAGCTGAGATTAAAGGCATGTGCCACCACTGCCTGGCCTCTATAGTTAACTCGTGGCTGTCTCCACCCTCTGACCTTCAGGCAAGCTTTATTTGTTAGAGTGCAGACAAAACATCACCACGAGCCCACCATTGTTAGATCTCTGATTTGTTTTCAAGGAAAACTAGAAATCTATATGTAAAAATTTCAGTTCCGATGTGTTAGCTCATACATATATGTATGTAGAAGATGATATACCTATCCACCATGTATACATACTGTTCCTTATAGTGTGCCCATGAATAAAATAGTCAACACCTTAGGTACTGACCATGCTCTTCATTTGAATTGGAATGACACTTAGGAGTTAGGTACAATCACTCTGTCACAGAGATGATAGAATAGACACTAAGAGAAACTGAGCAAAAGTTGTCTAGTCACTAGAGAAGATTTTCTCCATCTATCTTGGCCCCACTGGACAGGTTTTCCTCCACCCACTGTGTCCCACAGCTGCTTATGAAATAACCACTCAGAGACTTGCTCTATATTTATACTTGTCCGGCCATTGGCTCAGGCTTCTTACTGGCTAGCTCTCTCTCAATTATTAGCCCGTTGCTACTAATCTGTATCTGCACATGGCTGTGGATTACCCAGGTGATTCCCTGGGAACCTGCCTCCACGGATGGTACATGACAACTGGTCTGTCTTTCACTTCCTCTTTGTTCAGATTCCTGCCAAACAAAATTCTGCCTGTCCATTGGCCCAAACAGCTTTACTCCTCAACCAATAAGAGAAGCGTATATTCACAGCGGACGTTTCTGGGACCTCCCTCATCAAGTCACTGCATAAATGACAGGACTCAGATTCAACTCAGGACTCATAATATTTTAAAATAATATTTAAAAAATGCAAGCAACATTTGGCAGTGGCAGGGAGACATAGCCCAGTGCTACTCCCAGCAGCCAGGGGAGGTTTCCTTTCCACTCAGGTAAAGATGGATCCTTGACTAGGCCTCAGGAAAGAATTTGTAGACCCAGTCGGTCTGAAGCAAAGATACTGAGTTTATTAAATAGAGGCAAGGGGGAGTACACACTTCAGATTTGAGCTCAGGGATTTAGAGAGGGGGTTGCCCTTGGGTGTCTCCATAGCATCCACTTACAGACTCTGTGACTTTCTGTGTTATAGTGCTTAACGGATGCAATTTACAACAAGGATTGAAGATTAAACAAAGGCCAAGAAATAATTCAAGTTTATAAATTAACAAGTACAAAGTGGTTCACTAGGTTTTTTTTTTATCTTAACATTTTCCATTTGGGTTAGATATTTGTCTTATTAGTAGAGTTCTTGCACAACAGTCTAGGTCATAGGCGCACATGTACACACACAGCTCCTTTCATAAATAAAGTTATAGCGTGTTTTCATGAGGTACATTGTTTAGATTTTGAGATGAGAAATACATTCAAACCCAAAAGCCACAAATAGTCTGGCTAAAAATAAGCATAGTTCTCCCGACTCCCACCCGGAGGCAAGGTCTCCTGTTGCTCTAGTTGTCCCGGAACTCACTGTGTAGACCGGGCTGGCCTCGAACTCCCGGAGATCCTCTTGTGTCTGCCTCCTGAGTGCTGGGATTAAAAGCGGGTGCCACTGTGCCTGGCTCTAGTTTGCTGCAGCTGTTCTTTTGCTGATTTAAGGGTTCGTTTTGGTAATTTACACGTGAATGTGTGTGTACAAGTGTGGCGTGCTCACTGAGTCCCTAGAGGGCATCCGCTTCCCTGGCACCGGAGTTACAGGTGGTTTTGAGATGCGTGCCAGCAACTTAACCCAGGCCCTCTGCAAGAGCCGTAAGTGCTCGCCGCTGAGCGGTCCCGGGCTCCATAGCCTGTCTTCCCATCCCGGTTCTTTGTGAGGGAGACAGCACTATCCGTGTGGCAGCTGCAGCTGTGTCTGCCGTGTTTCTAACGGCCAGCTAGGTCCACAGCAAGGGACTTCTGCCTTTCCGCATCTCAGTTGTCTCTTTCTAGCCCGCCTCTCAAAAGAGCCGTCCCCGCTGAAAACAACAGAGATGCACGTGTGTAACTAAGTGCATCCGACTTTCCTCGGGGCTCTGTAACCCAAGCTTTCTGGACAGGCCGGGGTGCCTGCGTTTGAACCCAAGCTTTCTGGACAGGCCGGGGTGCCTGGGTTTGAACCCAAGCTTTCTGGACAGGCCCGGGTGCCTGGGTTTGAACCCAAGCTTTCTGGACAGGCCCGGGTGCCTGGGTTTCCACACTGTTTTCTGGGAGTTGGGGGAGCCGTTTGCTGATTTGCCTGATGGCCCTCGAAGCCTGTGTTGAAAATGACTGCGGGCCTCTTGCGAAACCATTAAAAGCTCTCATTGAAAGGGTCTCCTCATCAGGCCGCAGATGAGTTTTTCATTATGCATTCCTCCTTTGACCCTAAACGCCCTGGAGCCCTGCCAAATGTCAGGGATGGGTTATTCCGAAGCACTTAAGCCAGAAGCCTCTGGCAGGTCTTTGATGGTCCTTGGTCTAGAGCTCTGCTCAGCCCCAAGGGGCAGGGACTCACAGCAAGCTATGCCATCTGCTAATGTCTGTGGATTAAGCTAGCCCACGGAAAGGGGAGAGGTTTAGTGTTTAAAACAACTTGATTGAGATAATCGTAGGATGAAAAGGACAGGCTTGGCGTCCTGAAGGGGCTTTTATTGTAACAGAGCAGTGGGATTCCACCGAATCGCCTCATGAACTCCATGAAAAGTCTCTCCAGGTTTTTAATCTGTCTGTCTGTCTGTCTGTCTCTCCCCCCATATATATCTCCATATCTCTATCTATCTATCTATTTATCTATCTATCTATATATCTATCTATCATCTTGCTGTTACTTATTCATCCATCATGTAT